TCAAAGAGTGCAAGCTGAAGTAGCAAGTGCTGATGTAGAAGCTGCAGAAAGTTATCCAGAAGACCTAGCTAAGATTATTAAAGAAAAGTTAATAATAAGAAATATTATTAAGAAAGGCCATGCTAAACAACATATTTTCAATGTAGAGGAAACAGCCTTACATCTGAAGAAGATGCCCTACAGGATTTTCATAGCTAGCAAACAAAAGTCAATGCCTGGCTTCAAAACTCCAAAGAACAGGCTAACTCTTTTGTTAGGAGCTAATGTAGCTGGTGACTTTACATTGAAACTAATGCCTACTTACTAATCTGAAAATCCCAGGGCTATTGCACACTTTACAGATTACGGTATAGTGTAAACATAACTTTTATGTGGACTAAGAAACTGAAAAAAAATCACTGTGGCTTGTTTTATTAAGATATTCGTCATTTTATCGTGGTGTTCTGGAACTAAACCCACAGTATCTCTGCGGTATGTTTGTATTTCAGGGACTTAGAGGTTGTCTTCCAGGAGCTGGTGGAGGGCCAGTTCTCCTAAAGACAGGCCTTTCTTTGGAATGTGCAGGGTTTCAGCAACTTAGGCCTGCTGAGTTAACCATTTACTGCACACTAGGAGATGGTGGTATATGACCTACAGCAATGGATATTGTGAAAATTAAACAAGTTGATGCTTGTACATGCTTTCTTGCATCTCCCGGGCCTCCTTGGATGAGGAATTGCCACAAACATAGCCAATCTCCATTTTAAGCCTGAAAAAAAGTACTCTCAAAAGTGTACAGATTAGCACCTGCTTACATTATATATTATTTGCTATTCTCCTAATTTAATCTCTTCCACCACCATAACAACTTGCATCTGCAACAGACTTAGCAAGAGAGGCAGAGAGGACGCTTTTGAGGCTTTCGATGCTCACAATTTCAGGAGCATCATCCAGTTCTCACCATCTGTGTGTTAATCTGCTCAGGCTGCCATAACAAAATACCACAACCCAAGGAGCTTAAACAACAGAAATTTATTTTTTCACACCTCTGGAGGCCGGAAGTCCACGATCAAGATGCCAGCAGGTCTGGTTGCTCCTGAGGCCTCTTTCTTTGGCTTGCAGATGGCTGCCTTCTTGCCATGTCCTCACACAATTTTCCTTAGTGCATATGTATCCCTGGTGTCTCTTCCTCTCCTTATAAGGACACTAGTCCTATCAGATCAGGGCTCCATGCCAATGACCTCACTTAACCTTCACTACCTCTTAAAGGCCTAATCTCCAAATACATTCACATTGGGAGTTAGGTCTTCAACATGTGAGTTTCTAGGGCACACAATTCTGTCTGTAACAATCTTCATGACATTGCATGACTGACACCACCACCAATTTACGCTGTAAAGTCCCAGAGCTCTCCAGCTGCTCCACCCCTTCAGGCTGCTCAAGCCCATAACAACATGGCGGCGGCAGCAGCAGCATTGTGTGAAGGCTCGCTGCATGCCAGGCACTGTTCTACACACTTTATGTGAATTCATGCATCTAATCCTCATGTGGAGGCCCAAAACACAGCACCTCTCTTCCATTCTGATGGTCTAAACCAAGTGTTGGCAATTTTTTTCTGTAAAGAGCAGACAGTAAATTTTTAGGTGTTGTAGGCCATATGGTCTTGTCACAATTCAACTCTACTGTTATAGCACACAGCAGCCGTAGACAGTATGGAAACAAATGCGTGTGGCTGTATGCCAAGAAAACTTAATTCCAGCACACTGAAATTTTAAGTTCATGTAGTCTCCATGTATCACATTATTCTTCTTTTGATTTCTTTTAAGCATTTTAAAATGTAAAATCCATTCTTACCTCTCGAGCAGAAAGAAACAGGTGGCAGGCCACATTTGCCCAGCAGGCCATTGTTTGTTTGTCTGATCTAAACCAACTGAGAAATAAGAGAGTAAGGTGGAGGGAACAGCAAAACATCACCTTCAACATTGGTAAAGCCAACATGGAGAACATGGTCAAGGAAACTCCAGAATTAGGGAGACTTACACACCAAGGCTTCCCCAAGCAGGCCTCTTTTTAATGTATGGCACAGAGGGGGAGAACAAAATATGTGCTTTCTGCAGGGAGGTAGAGCTAAGCTACACATGTCCAATGTCTTCTTCCCAATTCCCCAATTGTGTGAGTCTGAGGAGTAGAGAGTCAAGAGTGGTATGCTGGCGGAGTCCTCCTGGTCAGACGAGGAAGAATTCTCACCCCATCTCCCTCAACCAACACTGCATAACACCACTATCATGCAGGAACTATTTTTATCTATTTTTTATAGGTCAGTAAGCAGGCACAGGGAGATGGTTCATGACCCAGATTCCAACCTAGGAGGCTGACTCAGTGCCCACACTCTGGACCACCCCACTGTAGGCCTTTCATGTCCTTCCTCACCCACCAGCATCCCCATACAGCAATGCTCAGGCTTACAAAACGGACAAGAGGATACTTTGCTCCCTTTCTTCTGACTATAACTGACCCCAGGCAAAAGGGAAATGCAAGATGTCTCCTGCTAACTTCTCTCCTTCCATGCTGGAGAGTAATTTATCATAAAGCTTTCTCATCTAGCCTTCGATAATGAAATGCAGTGCCAGAAAATCGCTCAAGGCAATAGACTAAAAGAAGAGAGAAATATTCAATCTAGCTGAAAAAAAAAGAGCTTCTCCATCTTGAACCTGCTCACGTTAACTTAATGTAATTTTATAAATGCCTATAACTTAGAATAGAATCTGTCCATATAAATAACACCATTCATTACTTCTTTATGATGCTCAAAGTACTTTCACATGCATTTGGGCCCTGTGAAGGAGGTAGGCAAGAAATTAATACTCTTGCTTTACAGAAGAGGAAACTGGGGCTTGGTTCATCTGGCCACAGGTCACATGGTAAACAGCAGCACAGAGGCTAGACACTGTGCTCTTCCAATTCCTCAGATACTCAGCACAGCTCTCACAATTTACCTTGTGATAAATTATTCAGCATCAGAGCTTTAACTTGCTAGCTCATTCAATATACTCAGTAGACAGGAATGCCAGAAAAATATTTAAGTTAAGCTGCAGCTGTGAATTCTGTGAGTAAACAGATTTCAAAACATACACTTCCCAACATAAAATGTTCACAATTACATTTTTTTTTTCAAGTCTTTTAAAATGGATTTTATTTTTTAAAAGTGAAAAAAGTACAATGAATATATACTCTTTGAAACAATTACATTTTTAAGTGGAAAAAAGTAAGATAAAAATTCCATACATGCAATAATTCCAAATTTATTAAAAAACACACTAATTTTTATTTTCTCCTAAATCTCCTATGTAGAAACTGTGTTTAAAAAAGAAAAAATAGTATTATTTAAAGTTTTAAAATATGACCATAGAATTTATCAATGCAAAAAACAATATGAAGATAAACATTCTTTTAAATGTGTGCTCATAAGTAACAAAAGGAAATCCCCAAGGGTCAAAAATGAAGATAAAACAAAAAACCAGATCCAGAACTTCTCTAGTGAGGTTTACCAGTCAGGGGAAATCAGAGGTTTCGCTTTTTTTATACGATAAGAAAAAGGAAACAGTATCATCTTGGAGTGAGTCAGGTGGAGAGTTAGAAGTTAAGATCCCCATAAAAAATCAGGACCCTCAAGGAGTCACACTTTCAATGAAATTTTGAGAGACTTTATTCATTTTAGATATTTTTATCTTATAATCAATTCAGAAGAAGTTTTGATATCAGTTTCAGGTATTTATTGTTTTTATTGGCTCTTGCTTCTTCCTGTGAATTTTGGACTATGACTTTATCTAACCATTGAGGAAAACTGACACAGGATTATAAAAATGGGGCCATATTCACTCTGTGATTGTAGGAAGGACACCTCAGCAGTGAGAAGGGTGTGTGAAGGCCCCCAAAGGCTGAATTCGTATGGATGAGTGGATCCCAGAGGGGTTGAGAATACATAAAAAAGGCAGTCGATAGGGGCCCACAGACCTGGGGCAGGATCCAGCCCAAGCCCCAGACCCTCCCTAGTGCATTTTTTTCTTCTTCTTTGCATAATGAAAGTAGCACCTCATCATTGTAATATTCAAAGAATTAAGAATTATATAAAATAAAGAGACTTCTCACTCACACCTCATGCTCCTCAAATCCCTTCTATCTTATGCTGATTAAGGACACTTCAGCACAGGTTCTGATAGCAATATGTGAAGCCCTTCCCTGAGCCACCACTGGATCCAGGCAGATGCACTGCACTGCTCCAGGAGTGCCACTCATACTGTCTTCTAAGTGGGTGTTGCCCTTCCCATCCCCCAAGTTGTACAAGGCAGCAACACTATTCTGGACAGTGGCTCCTGGTTAGGGTCTTTCAGAAGCTAGCCTTGGCATGTGCGTTCTTTTTGTAAAAAGTTTTATTGAGATACAATTAGTACATAAAGAACTGCACATATTGAATGTGTACACTTTGCTAAATTTGGACACATGTAAACACCTGTGATACCTTCACCACAATCAAGGTAACAGACACATCCAACACCTCCCAAAGTTTTCTTGTGTCTCTTTGTTTTATTTTTATGGTAAAAACACTTGACATGAGATCTACCCTCTTAATAAATTTTTAAATGCACAATATCATTTTGTTAACTCTGCTATGTTGTACAGCAGATCTCTAGAATTTATTCATCTAACTGAACTGAAATGTTTTCCTCCTTTTATCATCTCTGTAATTCCCCCACCCTGGGGGAATGTGAACTCCTGACTAGGGCTCTTCAGATGGTATCTAATGCCCTGAGGATGCAGACTGACATCTGACTTACACAAACACACCTATAGCACTGCCTCTGCCTAAGTGTTTGAAAGTAATTACAGACAACATAAAATCCTGAATGCTATCACCAGTAATGTGACTGCTATTTTTAATTTTTAAATTGCAAACTAATTAGTATCACAGGCCGATGTTCTATTTTTTGTTCTAATATATGAAAAATGTTCTTCACGGGCAGAAAAAACATCGTAGACCCAGAAGATCCCCGATGTGTCCGGTTAACGCTCACTGGCCGGATGATAGCAGTGTCTCCAGAAGAAGTGGAATTTGCCAAGCAAGCTATGTTTTCAAGGTTTGTACATGCTTTCAAATTGGTTTGCCCAGAAATATATACAGTAATAAAAAGCAGAGGTCAGGGCTATGCCATTTGATGATGGTGACTGGTCTGAGCTGCCCTTCTTTGGCACCACGCCAAAGCCTGCGTTTTCTGCGGGTGACTAGTGGCACAGCAGAGGCCATGCAAACAGCCTTGGGTGGGCTGACCCCGCCTTTGGAGAGCACCCCACACTGAGGTGTCCCAGCCACAATGCCCACATACCTCTAACCTCTCACAAGTGCCTTGCCTTGCAATGAAAATAACTGCCTTCCTACTCAACACAGCAAACATTTTCAAACGTCCACTCCAAGCCAAGCACAGTACCTGCTTCACATGCTGGAGTGACGTTTCTCAGGGGGTCTCGTCACCCTTGCATCAGTAGGATGCTAACTCCGAAATACTACTGAATCAAATGCTCGGGAAATAAGGCTCGGCATTTCAGTAATCTAAACTGTAAAGAGCATGGTCCAGGAAACCGGCAGGCATGCTAAGGCCTGAGGACCACTTTGTAGGGGTCCAAATGAGTGGGAGGGCAACGCAGTGGGAGGTCAGACCCTATGCAAGGTGCAGAGGGCGCCTGCACACAGGCTTTCCATGGGTATTGGGTCTCCAAGGTGGAGAGGGTGTCTTTGCAGGGGCAGCGGAAGTGGAGGGTCAGTACTGGAGCATGGGGTGGGGCGGCAATGAAAGCAGGCTGGAAAGAGTTTGTCTGAGTTGGTGGGGGAGCAACCTGAAGGCAGGTGGTGAATCGAAGGAGCCATCCACAACCCCACGGAGACAGGAGGATCCTACATGTGGGAATGACGGAATAAGTAAACCTCCTAAGGCGAGTGGAGGCCATGCCCCTCCCTGCCATAGAAGAGGACTACAAAGGCACAAGGAAGAAAACTAGAATAGAATGAATGGGATTGCATATGTTGACACAAACCCAGGGTTTTCAGTACTTAAAGAAATAAATGTAGATGTGTGTGTCTACACACATGCTTAATTCTTCATTTTAGTTTTTATTTTTATTTTTTAAACTCAGCTATCGTTCTCTAACTCCTCTCTCTCCTCACATGTTATTATTAGGATAAGCAGTGACAGGAGGCCAGAGTCTTCATTGGGTTCATTAGGTTCATTTTCTATTTTCCACCTAACCACAGGCCACAGTGTTGAAAATTTGTAGCCACTAGGTAAGGTGGATCCCTCTCCCTCTAACTTCCCACAACCTTATCTTTGCCTTTTTAAAAGCCCTCACTGTCTGTCTTCTCGAGTTCCTTCCAGCTTCCACTCACTGCCTGGGGCCTAAAGCAGGTGCTCCAAGTAAGATTAGGGTTTGTGAAACCAGCATCCACTTCCAGGTACCAAGCTTTGTTCCAGTTATCAGTACAAAACTAGGTTGCTTAAAACAACATCTCAGCTGCATGAGTATCTGAGGTGTTGGGGCATCAGCTGCACAACTTCAAATGGTTTAGCAAAAGAAAATAGCTCTTTATACTGTGCTTTCCATTTCCCCATACATTTATGATTATTTCAAAATAAATTATTTTTTTAAAAGATCATCCACCTGTTTTTGCACTAGCTTTGTTACAAATGTTTTTCTCAGTTTGGACTTGCTTTTTGAATTATGTTTATAATGTTTTTAGATACAAATGAAATTTTTATTTTTATGAAGTTAAAAAAAAAAGTGAGACACAGCCCCTGCCCTCAAAGATTATTTGCATTGTGCTTAGGGGTATGAGTGGGGGAGAAGGCAAGTCAGTAAACAGAAATAGTTGGAATCTCTGGCTGGCTCTCAGCTTGGCTCAACAGTTCCAAGCTTGCTACAGGACTGGAAATCTTCCCATGAAAAGAGTTGTTGCATGGGTTCACCATTTTGTTAGCATTTCATACAGAGATGCATAAAGCCTTTCTTTATGTTTCCTAATAACAACACCGATATCCACTGAGCACTCACTCTCTGCGGGTATTTTACATGTGCTTCATAGTTTGTTTCCCACACTGCCCTGTGGCCCAAGCACCAGAGCATCACCCCACGTGACAGGTAAGGGATGCGGCTTGCAAGTGCTGACAGCCCACGGGCATCACAGCTCACCAGCAGTTGGACTAAGAGTCAAACCAAGGAGCCCAGCTCAGACTTGAGCCTTCAGCCACTTGGGGTAGGGACTACATTTCCTGCCTTCCGAGGTGGTTACGGCTGCCTCTGGCTGATTTAAGCAGCTCTCAGCCCAAATGAGGCCTGGAGTCTGTAGGTCCTATGACTCTGCCCAGGGTGCACTCCTCCGATAAGAACAGCTTTATTGGGATCTCCCTTTATTCCTGCAGGCACCCAGGGATGAGAAAGTGGCCCCGTCAGTATGAGTGGTTCTTTATGAAGATGAAGATAGAACATATCTGGCTTCAGAAATGGTATGGAGGCGTATCCGACATTTCAAGGGAGGAATATTTCAAAGCAGTTCCCAGGAAGGCCTGATGGAGAAAGAAGAAAGGCCTTGGTGTTTGCATTGAAATGGAAACCTTTTAAGTGATGCTTCCAGACAGCTGTTGACCTCTGTCTCTTTGTTGAAGGGTTCATAGCAGCCCTGCCATCCGTATAGCAGATGAGAGAGGGTGAACAGGGAACCCTGTGCTAGATTTGAGATTAAAGTGGTCATTGGCAGATCACCGACTCACACAGTACTTCACATAGATAGTCTTTGTTTATGTTGTATTCAATCCAGACTCAGCTATTTGGAAATCACTGTTGGTTGTCAAAACGACATGTTGAGACTGTTGCCGCTTCATTCTTCAAAAGAATTATGCCTGTATGTAAATGTGATTGCTTTGTATTGTGAGAGTATTTTAGCTGCTTGCTGTGCCAAAAGCAGCCTTGGTTCTAAGATCATTGCAACCACAAAGGAGCTTAATATGCATCACACAGACACGATATTGTATTTAGGGTGAGGGTGGAAGACTGCCCATGGATTACCTATCCTGCATTGTCATATTGGCTAGAATGTACTGGTCACTTACGGAGCTTTTTTCCCCACCGTAATATGAACAACAGCATAAGAACACACAGAACTTTGTGCACAGCCCTTCTGTATATAAGTGGCCCATGGTGGTGCATTAGAGGAGGCAGTAGCTTCAGCATTAAGCTCCCCAGATCCCTGCAGCTCACTCTTCTGGCAAGGGTTCCCCTCTGGCACGCATGAACAGTGGCACCCAAAATAAGAAGCACCTCGTTCTGCAGAGTGTAAGAGGAAAGGAGAAAGTGTGACGCTGGGAAAGCAGAGGCAATGTATCAGAGAAGAAAGGAAAGTCAGGAACTGAGGACCCAGTCCTGAGCCAGGCCCTCCACAAGAGCCATCTCATTTAAGCCCTACAGCCAGTGAGACGCATGTCATCGTTGCTGCTCACACACAGGAAAACTGAGGCTCAGAGAGGCTAGTTCAGTGTCTCAAGGTCTGACTCCAGAGCGTCCTGCACACAATGGATGAAGTATTTCCTAGAACACTTATATTTTTAAGAACAAAAAATTTATTCACATGCACAGATATAAATTGAACCAGGAAAATAAGTGAAAGCAATTGGAAAAGAAAATGACTAACTTGCCTTGAGATGATTTGTCACTGCTTTCAGGAAAAAAAAAAAAAAAGAAGTCTCTGGAATTTGATTCTTACTACAGATTTAAAATTTTCTACAAATTATATGTAGGGGATCCTGGTGTTTGCAAGAAACTAGACTTACCTGTGTATGCTTTTAAGGCCTATATGGACCTATAAGTACAGATCCAAGACCTCTTATAATTGAAACCAAGATAGGATCTAGCAGTACCCAAGTTTTCTGTCTTTTTATAATAGGTACAAACTCTCTTTGGTGGGTTCAGTATGTTGTATGATATAAAAATACATCACTATATATCAGAAATACACATTTTTCCAAAAAAGTGTTATTAATGGTTATATACTTTCATTTAGCAAAATAAGACATGATGAGAATTTGATTTGTTGAATATGTTAAATGCCTATTACTAAAAACATAGTAAGATGCACAGAATTCTTTATTTATCATAAGCCAATTCTCAAAAGAGCTCCTAATGATGGTGATTTCTAATACATAAGAAACAGGTAGCTTTGAAGGTAATTTCATTGTCGCGCCCGCCTCGCCAGCAAGGAAGACGCGGCAACAGGAGTTCTTCTGACCGTGCTTTAATGGGGTTCCCTTTAAACTTGCATGATGCGGAAGACCCTGAGCACAAGCTCTCACACACTTATATACTCTAAGGAAGGGGGGAAGTGATGGGGATAGGTTAAAAGCGCTCGAGGGTTATTACTGATAGGCCAAGCTAAGATCCTTCATATGCATACTTATAGAACGGGCCAGGACTTACTCTGCGCATGCGCTGAACTTGTTTACTACAGGCGGGCCACCGGAAATCGGCGCCATCTTGTAATGGCGTTGTCACCGCGCCCCACATTTCATTATTTACAGAGCTTAAGATTATTGCTGCCCCCAATTTAGAGGAAAGGAGGAAAAGCTAGACGAACACACCACATGCTCAAAATAATCCATAGATCAACCTCAAACTTTAATTCTTAGACCATCACTGTCTCCTGGTCCTATCTTACAAATAATGTCCCTAAGCTAGGTTTGCTTCTATAGTCAGGTTCCACTTAGCTCATTAAAAGTCACTACTGTTTCAAAAGGCTTTGCAGAGTGGGTGCCCTTTATAACCACTGATTATAGCTGTTAATCCACAATATAGGAAATGAAACCTGAACAGTTGGATGATAAGAACAGTGTTGAAAATTCAGAGTTTTAGGCCTGATGGGCCCCATTCAGGCAAGTATGTTTCAGCAAATCTCTAGAAACCTACATTGATTAAAATTTTAAAGGCTGTACTGGAAGTTCTTGACATGGCAATAAGGTAAGAAAAAGAAATAAAATGAAGACAGATTAGAAAGAAAGACAAGTATTCCTATTTACAGATGGCATGATTGCTTACACAGAAAATTTCAAATAATCTATAAAAAAAAAACCCCTAGCACTAATAAGTGAGTGCAGCAAAGTCTCAGGACACAAGATCAGCACTCAAAAGTCAACTGCATTTCTATGTTCTCACAATGGACTTGTGAAAAACAAAACTAAAAAACATAATTCCATTTGCAATCACTCCAAAGAAAATGAAATACGTAGGTATAAACATAACAAAACATGCACAGAACCTATATGCTGAAAATTTTTAAATGCTAAAGAAAGAGATCAAAGATAATGAAGATACTAAGTTTATGGACTGGAATACAAAATAGTGAAGATATCAATACTCCCCACCCACATTAATCACTAGGTTTAATGTAACTCATATCGAAATCCCAGCAAGGTCTTTGTAGACAAGCTTATTTAAAAAGTTACATGGAAAGGCATGGGCTTTGGAATAGCTTAATAGCTTAAACAATCTTGTAAAAGAAGAATAAAGTAGGGGAAATTACTCTATCCAATATAAAGACTTATGTAGCTACAGTACTCAAGACAACAGAGCATAGATACATATATCAGTGGAACAGAATAGAGAATCTAGAAATAGACCCACACAAATATGCTCAACTTATTTTTTTTTTACAAAGGTATAAAAGTAATTCAACAGAGGGAGGACAGTCTTTTCAATAAATCTGCTGGAGCAAGTGGACATCCATAGGCAAATAAAATGAACTTCAAACTAAATTTAATACCTTATACAAAATTAACTCAAGAGTTTTCACATCCATAAACACAAAATGTAAAACTATAAAAATATAGAAAAAATAGAAAATCTTTGGGACATAGGATTAAGCAAAGAGTTTTTAGACTTGACACCAAAAGCACAATCCATGAAAGGGAAATTTGATAAATTACACTTGATCAAAATTGAAAACTTTTACTCTACAAAATACCATATTAAAAGAATGAAAAGATAGGCTACATACTGAGAAAAAATATATGCAAACCAAATATCTGACAAAAGACTACCATCTATTCTAGGATATACAAAGAACTCTCTCAAAACTCAACAGTTAAAAAAATCAATTAGAAAATAGATAACATGAGCAGGTATTTCACTGCAGAGGATATTCAAATGGCAAAGAAGCATATGAAAAGCTGTTCAACATCGTTAGTCATTATGGAACTGCAGACTAATACCACAATAACATATCACTATACACCTACCAAAATTACTAAAAGAAAAAGAAAAGGATATTTGTGACAAGACTAAATGTTGTCAAGGATGCAGGGAAACTGGATATACTGCCGGTAGGAATGTCAAATGGAGCAGCCACTCTGAAAAACCACTTGGCAGTTTCTTATGGAACTAAATATGCAACTCTCATACCAATTAGCAATTGTACACCTGGGCATTTGTCCCAGAGAAAGGAAAACTTACGTTCACACCAAAACTTGTACATGAATGTTCATATCAGCTTTATTCGTACTATTCAAAAAGTAGGAACAACCAGATGTCCTCCAACAAGTGGCTAGTGAAACAAACAGTGGTACATCCATGCCATGGAATACTACTCAGCAATAAAAAGGAACTAATTACCAATACAGGCAACAGCTGTTATTGTGTGTACAGAGAATTGTGCTGAGTAAGAAGAGTCAATCCTAAAAGTTTATACGCTGTGTGACTGCATTTATAGAACATTTTGAAATGCAAAACTATAAGAATGAATAATAGATTAGGGGTTGCCAGGAAGCAGGGGGGAGAATGATAGAGATGGGTATAAGTATAAAATGATAACACAAGAGATCCTTGTGGTGATGGAAATGTTTGGTATCTTGACCGAATCAATGTCAAAATGCTGGTTGTGATATTGTACTATAGTTTAGCAAGATGGGGGAAACCAGGTAAAAGGAATGTAGGATGTCTTTTGTATTATTTCTTACAACTGCAGGTGAATCTGCAATTTCTACAACTGTCTCAGAATCTACAGTTATCTGAGTAAAACGTTTAACAAAAACAAGATTTAAGGCTTAGTTTAAACAAGGCATTTATGCTATCTCTCTTGTTAATCTCTAATAAAATAAGGAATTGAGCTATGGGCCAAAACCTAGCAGAAAAGAGGCAGCATTTTTTTGTTAACCATTAATATATACATTTGTGAAAGCAATGTACGACTTCTTTTAAAGTTTTCTAAGAAAATAAGAACTTGAGAAATCTGCTGTATAGATTTTATATGTGAGGATATCTTCAAGTTTCTGATATAAATATGTTGGGTAAGCTAGAGGTGTATATAAGTGCCCACGTCTGTTCATAATGATTCTCCACTGATTTTTATAGCAAGAACTGTATTTCCAATAATCTTCCTCTAAATATTCTGGGAAAGAATTCTTCTTTTGTTTCTGTGAATAAGCTAACTAAAGTCCCTCTGGACCACCATCTTTTCATTTACAGTGACAATACATATCCATGATTTTGACATGTACAATATAAATCTGATGTTAATCTGATCTTACTTGTTTCAATATGCCTTGTATATACTGACTATTTGTAAGAGAGTTGTTTTTTTGGTTGAAAGGTATTTCTAATATTTTTCCAAAAGGTCTGTATTTCTTTTAAATAACAGAACTATCTAATACTGTTCTGAAAATAAAACCTCACTAGCATGATTTATTGATGCTTATTTGATTGCTGTAACAGCAAGTCAATTATTGTAGAATGACTTGTAATGAAGTTACAGTTTGTGCCATGTAATGCATGTAGAATGTAAAATCTGTTTTCAAAACTAGACCTATTTAGCCAAAGACTATTTCACTCCTGATATGATTTCCGTGCTTGATTAAATGAAACTATGATAATTATATGTAGTCATTTCATGTAATATTACAAATTTCTCTTATTATATTTCTAAGAAAATGGATACTATTATGATGACTCAGCAGTTAAAATTTCCAATAGAAGGAGAGGAATTAGCTGGGTGACTTTTGTTGACATGGTGACTTTTGTTGACATGAATACATCTAATTTTCAGACTCGAAAATATCGATGTGGCCACACTTTAGTGTTCCCACTCTTGAAATATTTGCCAGTTTTAACACAGTTGTTACTCCTAGGAAAAAGCACATGTTCCACGTGTGAAAACATGCACAGGGTTACATGTAGGGTGTGGCAAAAAATGTCATGTGCCCATGAGATCAATCCTGGGTGGCTGCAGCTTCCACAGACCACCCAGCAACACCCTGGCTCTCCAACCTATTTTTGTCCTCCACTTAGGGTGACCAATTGGTCTGGTTCATCCAGGAACGGGGGGTTCCAGGCCCTAAGACTTTTCAGTGATAAGGTCAGGAAAGCCCTGGCAAGCTGAGAGGAGTTGGTCCCTCTCCTTGGACTCCACCCCAGCCCCCCATGTCCTGGGCCACGCCCTGGAGCAGGCCATGCCCGGGGTGACCATCTCTGACCACACACCCAAACATCTCCAGCCACACCCCTGTCCTTCAGCCCTCTCTCCCCAGCTGCCTGAGCACCAAGTCTCCTCCGATGACCCATGTGCTCAGGAAAGTGACCAGCAAGAGGATGGGATTACAATGGAGAACAAGGCCAAGGCCCTGCCCTTAAGACACTTATGGTTTATAAGCAATAAGTAAACAGCACGTTTTTACGTGAGATAACCATTCTGTAGATTCAGCACTCCATCACTTCAGCCAGTATTCTCAACATCCCCACTTGTTTCCCTCAAGAATCACATGGCAAACTCTAGCCTGGATAAATCCAGTGTTCACCTCTGCAGCTGAACATTACTCACATGGATTGCTTCCACCTTAAACCCAAATTTCCTATGGCAGCAGCTGCCCCTTCCTCCTCCTGCCTCACCAACTGGGCAGTTTCCTAGGGCAGAGCTCCCCTGCCCAGACACAGGCAGGACCATTCCAGGCTTACCCAAGGTAGAGCATGTGTGATGGAAGAAGGTGGGAGTGGGGGGATTTAGGGTGTTTTCTCAGAGAAGCTGGCAGGCCACATGGTAGGCATGAAGGCGGGAAGGAGGGGAGGAAGGAAAGCAGTGCAGGCAGCAGGCGGCCCTGCCAGCTACAGCAGGGGACTTGAGCCCGTGAGTGGGCAGGGCTGGCAGGCCTGACGCTGTCAGCAGTGAGACATGTGAACGCCAAGCAACTCAGTGATGACAAGGCCCAGTCAAGGCAGGGACAACCAGACAGTGAAGGCGGCCAGAAAAATGATGGCTGGTGTCACATCTGAAGGTGTCACAGTGAAGGTGATGGAGGGGCCAGGCCAGCAGGGAGGAGGTTAACACAGCAGCCATGGGGCTGGAGGAGTGTCATCCCGCTTGTCAATACCCTAAGAGTTAACTAATGTCCTGAGCTTCAGAGGAGCAGGGTGGTTGTGTTTTGCTTTATTGGAGAAGTAATGATTTGTAAAGCACTGACATCGCTTTAAAATGGGCTGACTGAACTTGAATCCACTGCTTCCTAGCTTTGTGGATTAGGGGAAGGAGCAATGCTCTGACTGTCAGTTTTCTGCTGTATCAAATGGGACAATTAGCATGCAGTGCCTGGCACACTGCAAGGGTTGGGGATTGTGGCCTTCGATGACTTCTCATTTTCACCTGGTACAGAAGGTGTCCGTCTCCTCAGCAGGCCTGGGTGCTGTCAGAGGGGCTGATTTCGCACGGGGCTGGGCTCCCGGCTGTGGCGAGTGCCAGAACTGGCTGCAGAAAGAAGGGACAGGTCACCCCGTGGGCTTTAGGACTCAGGGGGTACCTTTCATGGACACGCTTCCTTTCCTCCCTCCCTTCTTGCCCACTCACTGGGGCCTCCCATCCTCCTGGCCACCTCCAAATTACTGCTGACTTTCCTCCAGAGTTTCTTGCTTACTTCTGGTCTTTCCCAAACCTGGCCAGTTTCACTGCGGCCCAGGCAGAGTCTCTGCGCCACCCGGTGGCTCCATCTGCAAATTTCACATTCCCCAGAACCAAGAATCTGCTGTGAGCTAAACTTTTTTGCATACATTACCTCATCCGTTTTACACCCGCCCTGCCAGGAGGAAGGTGCGTTAGGTTTTCTCATGGGGAACCTGAGGCTCTGCATGCTCAGACCAGCGCCCGTGGGCTCCTGGGGCCAGGCAGGCGGGTGAGCAGGTATAAAACCCAGGACGGACTCCAGCCTCCTTCCCTCCTCTCAGGGCATTGGGGGTTTCAAGAAGAACCCAGGCAGATCTATTTTCCCCTCCTGGGGTTTCCTTCTCTTCTTCTGGTTCTCAGCACCTCACCCTCTCCCCACTTCCGAGAGCGGCTGTCCCTGGCAGTGGTCTCAGGCTCAGGGAGGAGCTGCTTCCAGCAGGTCACAAGGACCATGGATCAGTGGAGAATTTACTACGTGGCAGGCCCATGGGAAGCCTTTATGAGCTGTGTCTTACCAAGTCCTCACGGCCACCCTGTGAGGTAGGTCCTCTTATTCTCTTTAATCGGTGAGTGAGAAGCCTGCCCTGAATCACACAGCTAATAATTAATTGGTGCACCGCACCTCCCCCCCCAAGTAAGCTTAGATTTCAAAGTACATGCTCTGAACTACCACCCAGTAGTTTGGGCTTATTTATGTGTTTTTCAGTACTCAATTGTGATTCAAATTTTGGTTTTGATTCTATAACACTTAACAAAAACCACAACTCCACTGTGGACTCCTGCTGTCCTCCAGCTGGGGCTTTGGCCCCACCCCTGGGCCTGAGTTGCCGCTTGGGTCTTTTGCTGGGCCAGCTCTGCCAGCCTCTTTGTAGCTAACTCCCTGCATGAAATCCCTCTTTCCTCAAAATATCTGGAGTGTTTCTGTTTTCCTGACTGGCCACTGACTAACAGAACCTTCTAACATAACAGCAATTTTCATGCGTCGGTCTCTTACTTGCTCGGGAATGAAGGCATTTGTTCTATCATGACCATATCCTCTCATTTTCGATGTCATTATATAATATTTTAATTACTTCTAAAAACAGGCTCTGGATCTGCTTATATGAAAGACACTTTTTAGAGAATACTTTTGAAAGAATCATGTCGTTCACCTAGAAGTGTTTGGGAACAAAAAAACAGTATGAATGTTTTGGAGTTTTTCTGTTTGGTTCGTAACATAGCAATTATTTTTTATTGTATTCATCCATGGTGTACTATATTCTGCAAAGTAGCTGCTGATTTTTTTTTTTTTTTATAAAGACCCTAACAGGGGCTGGGCCCAGTGGCTCACGCATGTAATCCTAACACTCTGGGAGGCCAAAGTGGGAGGATCTTTGAGGTGAGGCGTTTGAGACCAGCCTGAGCAAGAGTGAGACCCTGTCTCTACTGAAAATAGAAATATTAGCCAGTTGTGGTGGCGCATGCCTACAGTCGCAGCCTCTCAGGAGGCTGAAGCAGGAGGATCACTTGAGCCCAGGAGTCAGAGGTTGCAGTGAGCTAAAATGACACCACTGCACTCTAGCCCCAGCAACAAAGCAAACCTCTGTCTCAAAAAGAAAAGAAAGAAAGAAAAAAACCTAACAATTCTACCTCCAGACATTTTATTGAGAAATTAAAAATTAAGTCAGACTGAGAAAAGAAAAATCTTCCCTCCATGAATCGGACCAGCATAATAGACGAAGACAAAGCCAGCTGTAAAATTAACTGGAAATGTTTCTCTCAAGATCATGCTACAGTTGTAAAATGTCCTAAAAAAAACCAAACAAACAAATAAACAAAAAAAACCTTGTGAGTGACTTCTGCTTTCTTGGTCAGTGAGAAACTTTGTTCTAAAGTTAGGCTGTCAGAAACGTTGCTGCTTGAAATCAAATTGGTAAAAATGAATTATTACATTTTGCCTGAAAGATCTGAGTCTTTCACTATCCAGAAACAGCCTCAATTTCCCAGATACAGGCTTCAAACTAGGATTTCTAGACACAAGCAGACCTATATCTAAGGTAACTTCCTCATTTCCAAGAAACAGGAAACTTTGCAGTTTAGACTCCACACTGAGCCCTAACCTATATAGCCTGTTAGCCTTGATGCCATCAAGACATTGCTTCATTTAAATCTTACTCTTCCCCCAAATCACATAATAACATTCAATCTTTCTTTCTTTGGTGAAATGCCCAATAGTTCCACAGAAATGCAGTCTTCCTCATTTATAAGAGCCAGTCAGGCCTGGCTTTGTTGGACTCCAGGTTTGTCCTAAGGGCCAGATACTGTCCTAGGACAGTATCTGCAGACCTACATACTCCCATTTCATAAGGGACACTCCACCCTCCTTCCTAACCACCAGGGAAGCTGAGCGATTATTCAGAATTGTTTTGATGAGCACACAAACAGATCAAAAAAGTAGAATGATTGGAGGGGGTTATTTACCTAAGTTCAGAAATAGGCAATAAGTTCATGTTTATTCTCCAGCCAAAAATGCAGCCAAGTTGCTCTCATAACCCAGATGTAGTGGCTCACTCTCCCTATCCTATGGGTAAGTGATATTAAGCACTTACCCATCACTACTATTTATTAACAATTTTTTAGTACTTTAAGAATGCACAGCTGGAAGAAAAAGAAGCTTCATAAATAAAATGCACATTCTTATACAATATCGAGACTGAGTTATGCCAACCAAACTGAGTTATGTTTGGTTGGTTATATGAATAAATGTGAGTAGGCTTAACTACTTAAAAGAGTAAGATTTTCACTATGAGTCACAAAATAAGACCCAATAAAAATAAAAAGATTCAGAAGGACTAAAAATAAAGGCAGGAAAAAGGTATACTAGACTAATAGAGAAATAAGACATCTGCACTCAAATATTTATAGCAGCACAATTCACAATTGCAAAGATGTGGAAGCAACCCAAGTGCCCATCAATGCACGAGTGGATTAATAAAATGTGGTATATGTGTACCACGGGGTACTATTCAGCTATAAGAAACAACTGTGATATAGCACTTCTTGTATTCGCCTGGATAGAACCTGAACACGTTCTACTAAGTGAGTATCCCAAGATAATGTGAAGAAATAAGCACTCACATGTATTCACCAGCAATTGGTTTCACTGTCACCACCTAAGAGCCATGACAGGAATATATTCAATTATTTCCTGGTTTATGTTGCAGAAGAGATGTGTGAATTGGGTGTAGAGAGGGGTTAATTATAGGTATTTATACCATATCCATACATGAGTACCCCCATTGCACATCATCTGGTCAGTGGACAACGCATGAAGCTCTGACTCAAGGGTGGATGGGGGCAAGGGCAATATATGTAACCTTAACATTTATACCCCCATAATATGCTGAAATAAAAAAAATTTTTCAGTACTTAGGAAGTTTCCTGGTTTGTTCTGATTGTATCTTTGGACTTAAGCCTTTTTCCTTCTTCATGTCTAATCTGCTATAAACTCCATTCAGTGTATTTCATCTCTAGAATTTTGATATGTGTCTGTTATATCTTCCATGCCTCTATTTAACACATTCAAAACATTTCTCTTCTTTCTTAAACATACTAAATAAGTTATATTAATATTTACTTTTCTACTAATTCTATCATCTTGTCGTTTCTTGATCTGTTCTACGGATCCATTTCCTCCTTACTCTAGGTCTTATTTTTGTCTTCCTTTGTGTGCGTGGTAATTTTTAATTGGATGCCAGATATTTTATTTTTTGGGTGCTAGATATGTTTGATTCCTATAAATATCCTTCACCTTTGTCTGGAATGAAATCAAGTTAGTTAGAAAACAGTTTGATCCTTTCAAATCTTTTTTTAGGTTCATTAGGTGAACCAGAGGAGCACTTTAAAAGTCTAAGACTATGCCAATCTTAGTCCAGCGTTCTCAAGAGGCGAGGCAAGAGATTGCTGACCCAGGAGTTGAGGTTGCCGTGAGCAATGATGACACCACGCTCTACCCATGATGACAGATAAGGACTCTGTCGAAAAAAAAAAAAAAAACCACCAATCAAGGCTAATGGTTACCTACGTCACTGAGCAATACCCCCTGAGACCCTGTTGCCATAAATATGATTTCCATTCTGGTGTATGACAGTGAACAATCCAAGCCTGTGTGAACTCCAGGGAGTTCCTCTAAGCTTCTGTGATTCTTTCCGTAACCCTGTAGTTTCCTTTTCGTACTATCAACACTTAGGCTAGAGAAATACCTCCGCAGACTCCCAGGGATGTGTGTGTTGGTGTTGCGTGTGTGTGCCGTGGTGCATGTGTGCGTAGTCTTTCCTCTCTGACTTTCCCTGCAAACTCCCAGCCCCTGTGACCACCTGATCCAAATCATCTCCTCGAACTCAAAAAAACATGTCTCTACTGGTTCCCACCCTGTTGCTATAACCTGAAACACTCCCAGACAATAAGCTGTACATACAGCCCACCCTTGTTAGCCACCACCCCAGCGAACACGCCTCATTACCTAGGAAGCACACATCGTAAACCACTTCACAGATTTGTCTTCCGTAGTTCAAAGCAGAAAAACCTACTGTACCATCCTAGTAGAAGTAAGAAACCCTGTACTTTTAAGCACTGTCCTTCTTTAACGTTTCCTATCTGATTATTTTAAAAGTCATACCCTAACCCACCTATTCTAATAACCATACTACTTTTCCTTTCCCCATATGCCATTGCATATTCTAACTTGTAAACAATAACATTTGTACATATCCCCATTTGTTTATCTAGATTATCTTATAATGTTTAAACAGCACCACCAATTCGGGCAT